CATTTTATTTCCTTTTCTTATCTTACTGCATTAAGTAGGGCTTCCAGTACAATGTTGAAAAGGGTTGATGACAGGGAACCTCCTTGCCTTGTTCCTGATCTTTTCCAGGAGGCTTCTGTTTTGCCGTCATTAAGTACGACATTAATTATAGTTTATTTGAAGATGTCTTTTATCAAGTTGATGAAGCTTCCTTCTATTTCTGGCTTGCTGTAAGATTTTTTAAATTAGGAATGGGTGTTAAATTTTGTCAAATGCTGTTTATTAATCTGTTGATATGATCATGTAGTTTTTCTTGTTTAGTCGGTTGATATGATGGATTAAATTAATAGACTTTTGAATGCTGAACCTTGCATATCTGAAATACACCCCACTTGGTCATAGTGTATAATTCTTTTCTTTCTTTCCGTTTTTTTTTTTTTTTTGTTTGTTTGTTTTTTTTTAAGACAGTCCTGCTCTGTCACCCAGGCTGGAGTGCAGTGGGGCTACTTCTCTCACTGCAAACTCTGCTGCCCGGGTTCAAGTAATTCTCTTGCTTCAGTCTCTCAAGTAGCTGGGATTACAGGCACACACCACCATGGCTGGCTTTTTTGTATTTTTAGTAGAGACGGGGTTTCACCATCTTAGCCAGGCTGGTCTCAAACTCCTGACCTCAGGTGATCAGCCGCCTTGGGCTCCCAAAGTGTTGGGATTACAGGCATGAGCCACTGTGCCCGGCCCGGTGCATAATTCTTTTTATATGTTGTTAGACTTGGTTTGCTAATATTTTATTGAGAACTTTTGCATGTATGTTCTTGAGAAATATCAGTCTGTAGTTTTCTTTTCTTGTAATGTTTTTTTCTAGTTTTGGAATTAGGGTAATGGTGGCCTCCAAGAAGGAGTTAAGAAGTATTCCCTCTGCTTTTATCCTCTGGAAGAGATTGTAGAGAATTGATACAGTTTCCTGTTAAATGTTTGGTAGAATTTAACAGTGAACCCATGTGAACATGGTGCTTTCTGTTTTGTAAGGTTATTAATTATTGATTAAATTTTTAATAGATATGGGCCTATTTAGATTGTCTATTTCTTCTTGTGTAAATTTTGATAGATTCTGTCTTTTAAAAAATTGGTTCATTTCATCTAGATTATCAAATTCCTGAGCATCGAGCTGTTTGTAGTATTTCTAGTTGTCCTTTTAATGTCCATGTGATCTGTAATAATGTCCCTTATCATTTCTGGTATTAGTAGTTTTATTCTTTCTCTCTTTTTTTTCTTAGTCAGCATGGCTAATGGCTCATTGATTTTACTGAGTTTTCCAAAGAACCAAATTTTGGTTTCATTGATTTTTCTCTATTTATTTCCTGTTTCAAATTTTATTGATTTCTCTTCTAATTTTTACTGTTTTTCTATTGCTTACCTTGGATTCAATTTACTCTTCTTTTCTAGTACTTAGGTAGTAGCTTAGATTATTAATTTTTTTCCTTCTTCTTTTTTTAATATAGCATTCAGTGCTATAAAATTTCCTAAGTACTGCTTTCAGTGTATCAGTCAAATTTTGACAAAGTGTATTGTCAATTTCATTTAGTTCCAAATATTTTTATGATTGATCATTTCATTTATGTACAATAAAACTGGCTACTCAGAACTCTTTTGATGTTGAAGGTATTTCTTGTTTAAAATAAAATCGAATAAGCCTCATTTTGAAAGACTTTTATGCTTCTCTGCCTTTTTAGCAAGGTATGCTTATTATCCATGTCTTCACCTCTTTTATGCTGTGTTATAAATTGGATTGTTAATTACACTATTGATGGAGTGATTTCTACAGAAGCTGTTGAGTGCTTTCTAGTTTTTGTCTCTATGTTCTTCTACTGCTGGTCCTTATGAATCTGTCTACACTTTTGACAATTTTTTTTGCCTCCTTGCATTTAGACTGTCACTACTCACTTTTCAGTATTGTCAGTACCTGAGCCTCTTTTTAATTAATTATGAACTTTTTAACCAGTTAAGCAAGCCTACTAAAATTAAGGGAAGTTACCTCTCCTAAGATTATTATTATTACTTTTTTTTTTAAGAAAAGAAAGAAAGAAAAATAAAAAATAAATAAAAAAAAAGAATGAAGGAGAGGAAGAAAGAGGAAGAGGAAGAGGGAGAGAGAATGGAAGTGTTGCTTTATTGCCCAGGCTAAAATGCAGTCTAAAAATGGGTATTGAAAGCCTCTTTTATACCAATAATTGTGCTTAATAATGGAGACAGGAAAAAAATGAGGGAAGAAAATAACAAACAAGCAGCCAACCAATATTTCATTTCAACCTGTAGGTAGGTGTGATGTGGTACTGATAAGAGTGTATATTTTGTGTATTTAAAGTGGAGAGTTCTATAAATGCTTATTAAGTTTACTTGTTCCAGATCTGAGTTCAGGTCCTGGATATCCTCGCTAATTTTCTGTCTCATTGATCTGTCTAATATTGATGTTGAAGTCTCCCACTATTATTGTGTGGGAGTCTAAGACTTACATAAGTCTTATGTATCTGGGTGCTCCTGTATTGGGTGCGTATATATTTAGGATCGTTAGCTCTTCTTGTTGCATTGATCCTTTTACCATTACGTAATGTCCTTCTTTGCCTCTTTTGATCTTTGTTGCTTTAAAATCTATTTTATCAGAGGCGAGAATTGCAACTCCCGCTTTTTATTTATTGATTTATTTTTGCTCTCCATTTGGTTGGTAAATCTTTCTCCATCCCTTTGTTTTGAGTCTTTGTGTATAGATGGGTCTGGATGGAGCATACTGATGGGTTTTGGCTGTGTCTTTTGACTAGGAGATTTAGTCACGTTTAATACTGCCATTTGATGTTAGCTGGCTGTTTTGCCCATTAGTTGATTTAAATTCTTCATTATGTTGATGCCGTTTCCTTTTTGGTATATTTTTGGAAAGGCTGATTGATACTGGTTGTTCCTTTCTATGTGTAGTGGTTCTTTCAAAAGCTCTTGTAAAGCAGGCCTGGTGGTGATTAAATCTCTGAGTGCTTGCTTGTTCACAAAAAAAACTTTATTTTTCCTTCACTTATGAAGCTTAGTTTGGCTGGATATGTGATTCTGGCTTGAAAGTTCTTTTCTTTAAGGATGTTGAATATTGGCCCCCACTCTCTTCTGGCTGGTAGGGTTTCTGCTGAGATACCTGTTGTAAGTCTGATAGGCTTCCCTTTGTGGGTAACCCGACCTTTCTCTCTGGCTGCCCTTAGTATTTTCTCCTTCATTTCAACCCTGGTGAATCTGACGATTATGTGCCTTGGGGTTGCTCTTCTTGAGGAATATCTTTGTGGTGTTCTCTGTATTACCTGCAGTTGAATATTGTCCTGCCTTGCTAGGTTGGGGAAGTTTTCCTGAATAATATCCTGAAGAGTATTTTCCAGCTTGGATTCATTCTCTTCGTCACATTCAGGTACACCTATCAAACGTAAATTAAGTCTTTTCACATAGTCCCATATTTCCTGGAGATTTTGCTCATTCCTTTTTATCCTTTTGTCTCTAATCTTGTCTTCTCATTTTATTTCATTAAGTTGGTCTTCGACCTCTGATATCCTTTCTTCTGCTTGATCAATTGGGCTGTAAAAACTTGTGCATACTTCACGAAGTTCTCATGTTGTATTTTTCAGCTCTATTAATTCACTTACATTCCTCTCTAAATTGTCTATTCTCATTAGCATTTCATCGAACCTTTTTTCAAAGTTCTTAGTTTCTTTTAACTCACAGAAGTTTCTTATCATCCACCTTTTGAAACCTACTTCTGTTAATGGAAGACACTTGTTCTCCATCAGGCCTTGTTCCGTTGCTGATGAGGAACTGTGGTCCCCTGTAGAGGGAGAGGCGTTCTGATTTTGGGTATTCTCAGCCGTTTTAGGCTGGTTTCTTCCCTTCATTATAAATTTATCCATTTGTCATCTTTGTAATTACCGACTTTCTAATTAGGTGTCTGAGTGGACGTCCAACTTGTTGATTCCCAGCACCGGAATCTGAGCAACCCACTGCGCTGGGTAAAAAAGCAGCGTTAAGATTCGTGGTGCTTTTCTGATTCTGCACCAAGAACAGCTGCACCGAGGCGCCGACCGCCACACCGGCCACGAGAGTCGCGCTGGCAACCCGTGGGTCTCCTCTGCTGGGAATCTCCTGGTCTGTGAGCAACAAAAATTCATCTGAAAGTGTGGTGTCCTCTTGCTCTCTGCGCTTTCACTGGGGGCTACAATCCTGAGGTGCTAGTGATCAGCCATGTTGGACCTCTCTTCTCCTAAGATTAAAACAAGAAATGCTTCCGTTTTAGATAAAGACTTTGTAAACTTTTCAGCTGCTTCAAGAATTATGTGAGTTCCCACTTCCTCATTCTGCTTTAGTGAGGATTGTTTGATTACTGTTTTCCATTTAGATAAAGTGTCTAATGAAGTTCTCTACCTGTTAATATTTCCTGTGTTATGCAAGCTATTAGGCAGATAGCAAATTTTAATATTCTTGCATGTGATTTCTAACAAATGCATTAAAATTAGTGCAGTTAGTTTGCTGGTTATGGCCTTGGGTCCATAGGATTTTGAAAGCTGTCCTGGAAATGTTGTGCAGAAAAGTCTTTTGAGTGATTACTTCAGTGAACAACAACAACCACCACCACCAAACCTCAAACATCTTGCTCTGAGTTCACCTCTACAAGCCAGGGCTTCCTAGTTAAGGAGTACAAAGCCCAATTGTGCTCCTAGAATACGTGCAGTCCTGCTTTACATTTTTTACCCAGCGCTTGGTAAACCGGACTGCAAAGAAATGCTTATAGTCAAGCTGTAGCAACATTTTAAGGCACGATCTAAACGTCTCAGAGATTCCGTGATGAGAGAGTAGAGTCAAAAGAGGAGCAGCCTTAGGATCAAAGAATGTTTCTGGTGTGCATGCTACTTGTTTTAAAGTAGAATATTTTTAATTAGTCTCAAGGAAAAAATGAGGTTCCATATTGGAAGCTTATTTTAAATTTACTGCCATTTTATTTCCAGGTGGAGCACCAGTATTCCCACAAGTTTACGGTGGTGGTGTTACGTGCAACGAAAGTGACAAAGGGGGCCTTTGGTGACATGCGTAAGTTCCCTTATTTGCTTTGCTGTTGAACATGTGTAACCATGGTTCACTCTTTCATTGCTTGAATTCCTTGACAAATCAGAGGTTCTGCCTTCTTCAAATGTGGTTATGTTTGCCTAGACCTTTGAATAACATTTTCAATAGTTCTCTGATGCTATCTGTCAGAATAACATTTTGCCTGAGTCTTAAATTAGCCGAGATCACTTGGAGTCAGACCAGATGATTTTCTTGTGACATACACATCTTGGGAATTCACAAAAAAAAATTTTAAATTCTGCTTCTAAAAGAGTACTAAGTAAAGACTTTAAATAAGCTGCCTCTGTGAGGTATTATGCATTTAGAATTATTAAAATGTAGTTTTTCTCTTATTCTTATGCCTTTGAGTGTATTTATTTTGTATGCAATAGCCATAGAGATTGTTATAGGACAGACTGAAATGATGCCAACCACAGCCTGCAAATAATGCTGAATTAACTTGTTGAGAGTATCTTTCTTCACGGTTTTAAAAAAGGCTGTTTTCCCTGTGGAATCTTATTATTTAAATGGTTGGAATTCATGCAGGTGGGAATAACAAGAATAATGAATACAAATAAATATTATGACGATGGATTTGATAACATCCTAGATTTAATAACACCTTAGATTTGTTAAGGTCTTAGATTGTTGCTATGGGAATGGATTATTTAAATCTCAAAAGCAGTCTTTTTGGAAAAAGAACAGAGATTGCAACATATCGACCAGGAAACAAGGTAGGGTTCCCAGGCCAAATAACATGTAAACTGGTACCTGAAGGAAAAGTATCTTGGCGATGAGAGCAAGAAGTCCCAGGCAGAGGAAACAGCATGGTCCAAGGCAAAAAAAGGCCAGAATGCTTGCGAGGATCTGGAACACACCCAGCATTACTAGAGAATAGGTAACAGAGGTGGAGGTGGAGGGGCAGATGAGACTAGGATGGTAAGTCCTAATCAGACAGATGTAGGACTCAGATTTTATCATAAATGCAATGGGAAGAATTTGGTGGCACCTGAGTAGTAAGTCCCATAACTGAAATTTTATTTTTCTAAATGTTCTGATTATAGTATATTAAATATATTGGAGAGGAATGTGGAGAATCACTTTTCCTTGTTTCTTTTTTTTCCCCCAAAGAATAGGAGGGACTTCACCTTGTTGAAATGGCAGTGAAAATGCCAAGTAGAGAAGGAGGAGTTAGTTACTAAGGAAAGAAAGAATGTGAGCTCAAGGTTCATACCATTCAGTGAATGAGGAGAGTTCAGGAAGGTGGTAAATGTCAGAAGCAAGGAGAGGATTGTTAGGTAGAAGCTAATGGCAAGAGTTTTGGCTGAGCCGTGGTTTTCATGACAGGTGAGGAAAGCAATGGAAATTTCGTCAAAACTAGCCTCAACCAGAGGTTTACATCCTAAATTTTATCTCAGACTGCAGTTTAACCCATTATCACCCCTTTATTAATATTTTTCTGACGTTATTCTTATTTTGCTTTTTACAATTCTTTTCATTTTCACCATTTTATATGAGAATTTACTGAAAGAAAGGCCCCTGTGAAAGAGAAGCCTCATTAGAAGCTGTATTTAGAGACTATTACCCACGATACTCTTAAGAAAAGGCGTGGGTTTTACAACCGAAGAGGTCACACTGTGAGTTGGAAATGAAGGCCACTCTTAATTCAACTAACTTTTATGTCAGTAACTTGTCAGGCATGCAAAAGACATAGCTGATTTGACTTTTAAAAATACAGTTATTATCTCTTAGATAAAGCAGCAGCAACCTTTTTTTTTTTTTTTTTTTTTTAATCAATGCAGAGTTCTGTTGTGTAAAGACAATGGCTGTTTTTGTGCTTAAGATAAGTCTAACTCAGTTCAGACTCTATACTCCATGAGTCTCTTTCAACTGGTGTGGATTTGATTTTCCAGCAACTTCTCCCGGTAGGCCCAGGCACTTTGGCAATGATTATTTATTATAATTAGAATAGGGAAAAACGTAATACTGAAAGTTTTATTTTAAATCTCTGTGAATTGATATTGATAATATTACTAAAAGAATGAACATAAGATATTAATTCATCTCCTGGGACAGGGAACATTTAGATTTTGGGTCCCTACAGTGTACGTAACACAGATTAGACTCTTAGTTTTAGAAGCTTCCTTTTTAAACTGAAGGACCCATGGAAGGAATGGCCACTGAAGATTCATTGCTGTGGGAGAAAGGACAGTGTTATAGCATTCTGTTAGAATTATTATTCAGCATTTGTAATAGGATTTTATTAAATTATTACATATTGATTTAGTGGGGAGGGAGTTTTTGCCAACCCTTTCTATCACCTTAATGAGTTTACAGGAGTCAGAAAGAGACAGAAAGAAAAAGGAGTTTTAGAGACATAAATTTAATGATAAAATTACTAGGGAAAAGTGAATAGATGATATACAGTGCTAACCACTTTATTTTTGAGAAGCTGTAGGAGATTCTAGTGAGAAAAGACACAGATATTAGCCTTCACTTTTCTGAGAGGAATTTTGATGATACTGCTTGGAGAGCTTAATCTATACAAATTACCAAGTAGCTGAATTTGGGGTGTTTGTATATAGCAGTTCTTTAAACATAGACAAGAATAGGAACTGTAAGAACTATTTTTAAAAGTCCTAAAATCCGCAAAGACCAGGATCACAGAACACTACATCCTCTTTTGTCATTCACAGTGTCTGCATTTATTTAAAAGGTAGAGTTCCATAAAATTCTACATCTTGTTAAAGAAGAATGACAGATTACTCTGTTGGAGTTTTCTGCCTTGTGTGTGTGTGTGTGAGGGCCTTCTCAAGGGTGCTAAGACAAATCAAAAATCAAATAGTTAATTCTTGGTAAAACAGTCCGTATCTCCTTTTAAAGAAGGTAATACTAAGGTTATATCTGTTTTTTATTTTGTCCTTTGATAAATCATACTACCTTAACTAGCTACATTTAGAAATATGTTTCTGCATTGTTAAAACATCAGAATAAAATCAGCAACACCCAGAGAACTGTCTTTTGAAGGGTCAGAGATGACATTTTAATTTATAGCATCTCATTCATGCCTTTTTTTCACTTGAGGGCATTGACAAGCTAAGAATAAGACAGCTGCCAGTTCCTTCTCAGACATGGTTGCTACTCTCAGTATTACTCAAATATAGCATTTACACCCAGTTCTCCAGTGCTGACTCCTGCATTCTTATGTTTGCGGTTCATAGGGAGAGGCCATCTGGAGTTCACATTTACACCTGACTCAAAATCATTGCTCTATTCTTATCCTTGAATTAAGTAGCTTGCATTAATTAGGCAATATTAATGTAACTCTTACTTTTAAACTTATAGGAAGTTTACATGATATCGTAGACATGATATGTAACAAGTTACATGTCAGCATAATGTTAGATGCTAAATGTTGCGTGCATGTATGTTAAGCTCTAACCTACAGGAAGTTGTAGGTGAGCTGTATAACAAGCTACATGTCAGCATCATGTTAGGTGCTAAATTTTGAGTGAAGGTGTGTTAAACTCTATTCTCTATTGTCCCTTCATTCTTTTAACAGAAGATCCGTTTGCAGAGTGGGTACAGTGGGAGTAGTATTTCATTTGGCCACAGAATTTTCTTTGTGCCTGTAAGAAACAGAACACACAGCTCTGGCCACAAAGCTCATTTTATAATCAAATAAAATAACTGACACAAAGGCAATAGCCAGCTCACTGAATTTCTGCTTCTTTTAGAAAGTGTTGGGGAAAACACAGATCCTGTTTGATAATGGAGGCTAGACTCAGAATTCAGAACGAACCGTTTCACTTCCTACAGTGAGATCAGATAAGAAAAGCCATAGTGCCTTCTAAATGATAAAATACCACAGAATATTAGAGTTTTAGAACTATCCTAATTATGGATGTATACACTGAGGATTCTTTCCCTGTCTGGTCCCTTTATTAGACACATAACTCGTTTTCTTTACAGAATAAGCATCGTAAACATTAGAGCTTCTAAGAACAGTTACAGGATTGCAGGTGGATCTAACTTAAGTATTCAGGTGACAACAGTATTTAATGTCCACATTTAAACTCTAATAAAAATACACATGCTTGGGAAAAGTATGAACTCATGGTACTTAAACCAATTTTATAAGATCGTATTGATTAATATCTTAATATGCTTCTTTAAGATTTTCTTCATAGTGTCAAGCTCTTAATATTCAAAAAGTCTGTGTCTATAGGTAAATGATATTCTATTTCTGATAACCTCCTGGCAAGATTTGGATCAAGTTTCTAATTTTTAAAGGGTTGTGCCATTTGCAGTTCTAAGACTGGACTTAATCTTCCCCAAACAGTGCTCCTCAAATTTTAATGTCCATATGAGTCACTGGAGGTTCTTATTCAAAAGGCAGATTTTGATTCTGTAGGTTTGGGGAGTAGATTCCAAATTTCTAATGTACAACTGATGCAGACATTGCAGACCACATTTTGAAAGACAAGCTCTAGGCAATTTCTTCTATTTTATGTTTGCTTACCCTGAGATCTATAGGACTTCTCAGCAGAACAGACTTTAAAAATCCATGATGGAACAAAGATTTTACGACTTTTGTTTTTTTGCTGATTTTACTTTTTTAAAATGAAATAATCACAAATACCTTAATACTGTTTATTTTTGAAATTCTTATAAAAGGATGCTTAATTACATGACTTGTTACATTATCAATGAGAATGACATAAACACAAACAATACCACCATTGCATTATTAAATTCTGAAATTATTTTATACTAAAATCATGAAAATACCAGATTACAAGCCATGAGAATGAGTATATTTTTTGTTGTTTCAAAAGTCACAGTGCTCACTTCAAGTCAAACGATTAATGCATGAAATGTACTATGCACACACACATTAACAAATATCGTCTTTCCCTCTACATATAGATACCTTCCATAAGTAGTTTAATATATAATTCTCTTTGAGCTTAATTGGTGATTGG